ATCCATTCCCCCCCCCCCCCCCCTCCCCTCCAGGAAAAAACAAAAGAAATCAACTTCTGTATGAAAATTGTAATGGTGGCATCAGTTAGTTCCCTCCATTTGGTTACTGTCCTTTACTCTTATCTCACTCTCCTCTTGGATATTTAGTGGTAATGGAAAATGATCTAGATGATGAATTTTCCTTGTGTTATAGAGCCTCTATATGTTCATCGCCAAAGCTGTTATCTTTTTGGGAGAGAAAGGAGGGTTGCAGACATTCCCACGGATCACCCATCTTGCAGCAAGCAACATGCTGTCCTCCAGTACCGGTACAATATAATCTCAAGTACAATTAATTCAGCTTCAGTATTTGACAGTTCATTTGACCTTTTTTTGGGGTTATTTGGATTATAGGCAAGTTGAGAAGGACAAACCTGATGGTACTTCATCGAAGCAAGTAAGGTGCGACTGTGGTGCTCAGTTGTTTGGTGCAAGTTTGTGACATATATCTCTATATATACCTCACTGACAATTGCCTGTTTAATGGATCTATAGGCCATACGTAATGGATCTTGGAAGCACTAATGGTACTTTCATTAATGTGAGTCATGATTTGCATTTCTCGTCTCTTTGTGTAGAAGGTTGTGTAATGATTGGTTTTCCTATGGTTCAATGACCCTCACTTTATTTATAGGAAAATCGGATTGAGCCTGAGAGATACTATGAGCTATTGGAAAAGGATACCCTTAAGTTTGGTAATAGTAGGTAAGTTGCTTTCTAAAAGTTATGATTGTCTGGATAAGTTTCTGTTTTGTGAGCTATGCTTCAACCTTTTTGCTATTTTTGTTCTTTTAACTTTAAATCCTTGTCATTGCGTACTTCATTTCATATCCTTCAATTTCCATCAACATCATGGACTCCAATTGCTAATTTTATCATAAATGCAATTTCTCACACAACTTGACATGATTTTGGAGTTTGATTATATCAGTTTGAATTAGATTGTTTTCTATTATTCTTTCATTTACACCTCTTTGCCTGAATTAGTTTGCGCTTGATACTTTATTTACACTCCTAGATTTTGCATTAATGTGTTGATGGGAAAATTTGCAGCCGAGAGTATGTGCTGCTTCACGAGAATTCAGCATGATGAAAGTCTCGCTAAAATGCTAGACAGAGGTGTCATTTGCATCGACTGGCTTGTTGTTGGACGCTTTTAATCACAGACGATCAAACATTTGTTAGGCCATGTTTACCAGCACACTAGCCATTGCAAGTACTCAGCTAAAATCGTGTAATGTGCTCGAGATTTCGGCAGTGTTAATGGAAATTTTGGTTTCTATAGCCTCCATGATTCTTGGATGGTTTGTTCCAGTTTGTTTATAAGCTCTTAGTTCCCTTATAAATGGGATTGTGTAAAATTGTTGATCAGGTCATAACTAGTGAATGCACACTCACATTCCTTCAAGTAATGAATATTTATCTTTTCCTATCATTGCTTTGTTATAGAAATTGAATCTAATGATTTGGTATGGTGCATTAACTTCTCATCACTAAAATTTGTCATGTTTTTTTTTTACTATTTGATTCTATTTTATGATGGTGGTATCCGAGTTAGCCCTTTTTTACGTGCCGTTTTACCTTGAAAGGAAAATGAGTTTTGCTCCTATGGGCTCTAGGCGCTCCTGTGGTTTGGGAGAAGGACAAAGGATGTTGCATCTAGAGCTCTTGGATTGCTTTATTTTCTCTTTTTTCCTATAGAAGAGTTTTGATCCTTTTGTTTCGAATTTCTTTGTTTTACGTAACTCCTAAAATTTATAGGAGGATGATATCCCACTTGAAACTCAGTAGATAGTGAGTTTATCCTTTTACCCTTCTCCACTAAAATATCAAGCTTCCAAACTCGTAACATACATGTAGCAACTAGACCACGATTTGAAGTTCAATGGATAATGGGGTCGTTCCCATTCTCTACTTATGTATCAGGTTTTTACTAGTAGCAAGATTCGAGCTCATGACATCACATAACAATTAGATCACAATCTGGAATTCAGTAGATAATGATCTCCTTACTCTACCTTTCTCCACTTAAATATCAGACTCTTACATCATAACAACCAAACCACGGTTTGAAATGGCGATATATGGTCCCGCCCTTCTACTCTTCTCCACTCACACACCAATGTCTTCTTGGATCTCTAGAAGTCAATAATGGGCTCACCAATGGTGAGATTTTTCTGGACAGTCCAAGGCAAGTTAAAGAGCTTTGCCATAATGAATTTGAAGATCTTATTCACATTGATGTTATGAGTTGCACTTGAGAAAAATAGAGTTGCTTTCATTGCCTTTGCATATGTTCTTGCCTACAAACACAATTCAAATTTCAAAATTTAATAAACATTCAAGAATTCATAACGAGTAGAAAAATCAAACATCTCAATGACAACACTTCATTATAACGATCAAATTTTCACCAGAACTGATTTTTCATGTTAGAGAAAAAGCCTCATTTATTGCCATCGATCGCTAACGAAACTCTAACATGAGGGTAGTTTTCAAACCATGTTTATAGTTTGAGGGGTAAATATGAAGAACTTTTCGAAAAATTTGGACACATAAAATCCACAATTTCACGTTGAAGTTTCATTAATAATAAGAGTATTAACTAACTATAGGTTTAATGATAGATTCATTAAGAGAAAATTGTTTACTGTTAAAAAAATTAATTTCGAATTTGAGACTTCTGATTAAAAAATGGATGTTGTACACCTTATTTATCAAAAATTATGATTAGATAATATGATCATTCCATCCTTAATCAAAAATTCCGACAGTGATCCTTTTTTTTTGGGTAGTGATGCTTTTCTCTTTAACAAGACTTACGCAATACGGATTTCAATTAATAATGCCTTAGAGAGAATATCAAACCTCCAATAAAAAGGTCCCAATGACTATACTAAGTGAAACATTAATTATGAAATTGGTGGTACCTGAGAGACAACAGTCCATTGAATATCTAAAGGAAGTTGAACAAAATCATCAAATTTGGTCCCAATTAGTATGGGAATAGCACTCTGCAAAATAAATAAATAAAATTATCAAATCAATAAAGTCTCAACCATATGTATTGTTGTTAACTTATTTTTTATTTTATTTTTATAAGGGTGAAGCTTAACTCGACTATTTTATTGGGCATCTATCACTATATTTACTAACACATGTATCGAATAATTCCGCCTATCAAGGATTACATAATAGAAAACAACGAAACATACTGAATCGTACCCAACTAATTCGAATTTGTGACGTGTAAGACTCTCCACCATGGAATTATCCATTTATAGGACACAATTGAGAATTTATTTAAGATATAAGGATTTTGTTTAACTATATCTGGTATTCAAAACTCACTTGTTCGTTCTTGACTAACTTAGATTCGCTAAACCAAGCTCACACACAAGCCTGCTACCATGCAAGAGATGTGTAACCGGCTAGCTATCAAAGAATAAAGATTTCTCCCTTCCCAGGATTCAAATTCAAGACCTCTAATTAAAGATAAGAAAATATGGTTTAATCACATAGTATTCGAAACTTGCTATTTAGAGCATTCATTTTATGAATTTCAAAGTTTTCCTCTTTTCAAGAAAATAAAAGTAATAATGTGAAATAGAAGTCAAAGTTTCTCACCTTATTCCATTTTCTTGCTTGAATGTACCAATATTTAACACTGCAATTACCCAAAAAAAAAAAACAGAGAGAGAAAAAAATGTTAATTAGGGATTAAAAAATATATTTAATTAATCAGACATGAAAAAAAGTGATAGTATTCAAAAAATACAAAAAATGTATTTTTAGTCCTTGAAATATCAATAAATACTGATTTTTATTCCATGTACTAACTTTCACTTAATTTAAATTAAGCACACTTATAATTTCATCAGCTTGTGAATATTCACAAATATATCAAATTATTAAAAGTTACATCATTTCATTATGTATATGTTATATTAGGTTTTTATTATTATTCATATTTCAGGGTAATATAATTATAAAAATAATCTTAAATATATTAACTTTATTTCAAATCATGTAACACTATAATTATAGCTATAGATAAATGTTATGGTATGCTTTTACGTGTAAAATGTCAAAACGTTTCATAACCACACGAATGTTATATTTTAATTCGTACTTGTTTTATTTTCTAGAACTCTTTGACCTTCGAATTTGGAATATCTGGGTGGTACTGATCGCTTTCTAAGTTGGATGTCACTCCCCTTTTTGATCCCACCTATTCGATTCTTCTATTAACTCGACTAACTATAACTATAAGTTACACGCCTAGAACTCAAGACTACATGTTTCAAAAATCGTCATTTCTTGTTAAATTATTTGTTCAGTTAAACTATGTCACATAAGTTGGAATAGAAATATTAACATATTTATAAACTGATAAATGTATACAAAAGCATACATGTTAATTAATCATATATCATAAGAATTAAAACAAAAAATATCAATAATTAAGTGATCAAAAATACTATTATTCCAAAAAAAATAAAAATAATGAGGTAATAAAGTTGAAGAACATACTTGTTCAATGATCTTCTACAATTAAGATCAAACATGAAGAGAATTGCAACTGCATCTTTACAAGCAATTGGAATTTGACCATATGAACTATGATCACCTGTAAAAAAAAATTGTTTTTAACATAATTGGTATATACATATTAATGAAAAATATAACTAAATAATATTAATAATAATAAAATAAAAAAATAGTAATGGAATTAACATACCTCCAACATCCCAAATTGTAAATGCAATTCTTGCACCTTTTATGACTAATGTTTTATCCATTAAATTTAATCCATTCATTTGCAAGCACTTCTTTTCTTGTTCATCACCCACATACTTTGCCTAAATAAAAAAATAAAAAATAAATCCCAAGAAAAGTGTGAAAGAATAAAAGAAAATCATTAGTTTGCATATATATCAAGAATCAAACAAATCATATATAAATATTTATGGGATATACGAGATTTTTCCACTCTTCATTTAACTAAAGGTCTAAGGTTTTCAAATCACAAGATGGAAAAAGGACATGCTAGAAAGGCGTTACAAAAATAAATCACTCAAAATAATCATTATTTTGAAGTTTTAAATTTCACAAGTGAAACTCCAAGATATTATCTGAAGTTTGTTGTGAACTTTTAAACTTCAAGACAATTATTTTTTTTAATTACAAAAGGCTCAAAAGTGAATATTTTTCTGTAAAAAATATCCTTTACGATGAGTCTAACACTACGAAAATTCAAATTATTCAGGCAAGTAGGTACCAAATAATGAATGGTGAAACAAAAAATGAAAACCCTTATATAAAGATCTTGAATTCGAATCATAAAAATGATAAATACATAATAAAAGCACATATTTTTAAACAAGAATGATACTTCACAAATCTGAATTAGTTAGTCAAGAAGATACCAAATATCGACCGATAAAGTAAAACAAGACTCTTAACTAGCACATCTCCAATTCAAATCCAGAGAATAGAGAAATTCAAATATCGAATGATTAAAAAAAAAGATTATAAAAGAAGAAATCTATTAAAAATCATAAAACTTACCACAAAACTTGTTTTCCCAATTTGACAATCACCCAAAATGCTAATCTTCAATGCAACTAAATCTGAATCATCATCACTAAATATGTTTACAGTCTCAGAATCAACAACTTCTAATTCTTGAGAAATATTTTTTGTGGATAACTTCTTGTACTTCTTAAATTTTTCACTTGAACAAACTCTAATTTTTTCCCAAATCGATTTAATCTTTTTCTTAAAGATTGATGCTTTTTTGACCATTTTCCATTTTCTAGGGATGACCTTAATTGTTTTAATCCACCAAAATCGATGATTCATCATTCTTAATCAGAGTTCGTTATCAAGCTAAGCGAAAGTTCTGAAATTGGAGAATTTTTTATATGAAGAGACCCCCCTCCTTATATAGGTGTTATGAACAAATTAAAAATGGATTATCGTGCAATTGAATACTGAATATCAGATAATTAAATTAAAAAAAAGGAAATGAGTCATCTTTCTAGTGATTAATTTTTTATGGATCTTTTTTGAGAAAGGATAAAAAAGAATTGTATGCGCCGTCAAGGAATTGGAGAAAATTTCGATACGAAACCACTTCCTCTTTATACAAAAAGAGGAAGAGGCGGAGGAGCACGAGGAGGAGGATGAGGAAGAAGAAGGAGAGCAGGAGGACAAAAAAAATTAGGTTGGGTATAAACACGTGATAAGAGTAAATTTATATCAAGAGGAGGGAGGGGGAGGAGTGACATGTACAATTGTCCAATGACAAAAAAGCTCTAATAGCTTGCTTTCTCGATTTCGATGTTATTCAGGTATTTTCGTAAATTTACATTATTCTACCTAAAATTTGTATTACATCATAAGAAAATATTCGCGTCATGATGCTACTATTTTTTTAGTAAGAAGACAAAGAAAAAGCTTGTTACTTTCATGATATTCATGTTTGGATTCTATAATTCAAATTTTCATTGTATAAAATGAAAAACAAAATTCTACCCAATTTTTTAAAAATATTTTTAAGGCTCAAACTTGTGATTCAACAAAAAATGTAAACACATGGTCATTGTTTTTCTAAAGTAAGCAAGCTTTTAAATATGTCAAAATATATTTGGTTGGCACAAATTTATGTTATTTATGATTATCAACTAAAATACTAGAGATCAATACCTAGGAATAGAGAAAAAGAGGAAATAACAAGTAATGACATTTATTTATGTGTTTTTCCAAAAGAAACAAAGCATTAATGAATGAAGTGAGGTTGCTTTGGGCATTACCTATAAGTTATATGAGAAAATTATGCCGAATAGCAAATATTTAGTCTATATTAGGTGTTATAACTATAGTTTAAGAAAATTGTAATTTGCTATTACAGTTTTTCTAATTCTTGCTATTCGCCTGATTTGTATAAATCCGAAATTTGTATAATTTGGTTTCTGATAGTATAAATCCAGAATTTTGTATATGACTATCCTAGCTATTTGTATACGATTTATGAAAAATTCATAATAAATTACCCTATATGCATATTGGCAAGCGAAATATACAAACGGAGTTCTGAAAAATTTCTAAATGTATAAATACAAAAATTGTATATACTTACCCTTTTTGTATATTGACAAGCGAAATATACAAAAGGGCAGAAATATACAAATTGCAGCCTCCATAGCAAACAAAACTATAGCTATGAAGCGCAATTATCGAAACTATAGCTATAGAGCCTTATTATGTCTATTATATTTGCTATTTCTAAAAAATTTGTGTGGTAAATATCTCTCCATTTTTAATTGTAAGTTTTGAAACGGGGTGATATATATGGTAAATATATGTCGAATGACAAAAAAAGTCCAACTTGTCACCTTTTCGGTTTCAATATAGCTAGGGTACTTAGGTCAATTCACATAATTCCACATAAATTTTATATTATACAATAAGAAAATATTTGTGTCTTGCCATTTCTTTGTAAGAAGACGAGAAAAAAAATAATAGAAAACTGTTTTTGTTCTTATACGATATACATTAAAGGAGAAGTGCCCTTTATAAAAAAAAAAATCAATTCTCAAAATCCGAGCCCAAATCTTTGATTAAGAATTGAGAAATCTTATCCATCCTGCCACTATCCACCTAATCCAAACCCATGTTATGATTCAGTAGAAGAGGGATTGGTTCCTTTTATTTCGATCATGATCTAGATGAGTTAAGAATCTGGGTGAGATAATTTCTTTTTAAGCCACATGACGTTTTTGGAATTTAAAGGTAAATATACGTATTATTTGTTAGAAATCGAGGATATATATGCAAGTTATTGCATCTTCAACCTTTGTTGCTCAGATTCTTCAAAGTGTGTGTCAGATCCTCTAGAAATGGTGCATTTTTGAAAGATTCAACAATAATTTTGAAAAGTCCGAGCAACATAATTTTCATAGGAAACAAGATTCTAATACTACTTTACAAGCAAACCAACTTTTACAAGTACTCGAACGAAGTTATAAAGTAGATTAGTAGCGCATTTTTGAAAGATCCAACAATAATTTTGAAAAGTCCGAGCAACATAATCCTCATAGGAAACAAGATTCTAATACTTCACAAGCAAATCAACTTTTATAAGTACTCGAACGAACGTTATAAATCACACAAGGGTAGATTAGTAGTGCATTTTTGAAAGATCCAACAATAATTTTGAAAAGTCCGAGCAACATAATCTTCATAGGAAACAAGATTCTAATACTACTTTACAAGCAAACCAACTTTTACAAGTACTCGAACGAACGTTATAAATCACACAAGGGTAGATTAGAAGTGCATTTTTGAAAGATCCAACAATAATTTTGAAAAGTCCGAGCAACATAATCTTCATAGGAAACAAGATTCTAATACTTCACAAGCAAATCAACTTTTATAAGTACTCGAACGAACCCTATAAATCACACAAGGATAGATTAGAAACCTCAGGTAAAATGCCCGCCCGTAACATACAAGCTCTCAAAACAGATACATAACAGAGCTCACATATGGTAAAATGGCGTTGATCTAAAAAATATGACGAAAACGAGAAGATGCAACTTACACTAATGCTAATAACAAAACTTGATACTCTTATGCCTTCTGGGCTTTATAGTTAACGATGAAGTCTTTGACTTCATCGTTAGCAGCCCTGTCAAGGGCAGTACGTCCGTCTGCATCTTTGACCGTGTAATCTGCTCCAGCTCTCAGTAGTTCTTCGATTTTTGGCAAGTCGCCTTCAGTGGAAGCCATCAGCAGTAAAATATCGACCGGGTGTATGTTTTGGCTTAAAAGAGCCTCCATCTTGTCATATGTTCCTTCAACTGCAAGCATGCCCATGTAGTTGAAGTACTGCAAGAAATAACACAAAATTCAGTGAGTTTTTTTTTAAAAAAAATTGGGGGCGGGGAAGAGGGAACAGAGGAGGGGATTAAAAGGTGGGAAATCGAACCCTCACCAACAAGATGAACGGTGTAGTTAGGCAACCAACTGAGCTACTAAGATTCCTCGAAATTCAGTGAGTCGTTTCCATGATAAACAGTTTTTCTTTATGAAACTAGTGCTCTCAACAAAATTATGGTGAAACTTTGGTACTATCTACCGTGGTAGCGGAACCAAGAATTTATATAAAAGGATTCAAAACATAAAAGTTTAGATTCAAGCATGACCTAAAGTAACTTCTGAACCCCTTTACCACTACACAAGAATTTTTTTATTTATGTCGAGAGCATTCAACGGTTTATATATAACTAAAAGCAATTTTCTACCCTATTTGCACAGTATAATTTTCTGACGAAAATGATTCAGTTGAACTCCTTTCCCTCTTACTAGCTTTGTCCCTGACCTATAGATGATCAACAAATATTACTTCCAGAGAAACACACGAGCTCAAAATGTCACATGTGTACTCAAAATTTTGGTAAAAGATACGTTTTCCATGTTATACACGGGGTTTCACAAGATGTGCCTCTGTCAAGTGGAGGTGTTCAAATGGTCACTAAGAAAGTTAAAGGTGTCTAACCAAAAATTGGTGCCAAGTTTGAGGGGCTATCCGTGTATTTGGCCCATAGGTTATACACACTGATCAAAGGGTTTGACTCATCCACTCAAGATTGAAGATACCACCCAGGCACTCAATATTGAAATGTTGCATCATATCGATTATTGTTTCGTTTTTACTTTCACATCAAAATTTAACACATATAATTCAGTAACATATAATACATATAGTATTTGAATCATTTAAAAGAAGAAAAAGCTACACAATCGTTTCGTCAATTAGAGTTTGTTGAATGATATTTCACAGTAAGTTATGTAGTTTTGTTATTCACAAAGCTCATGATTTGGCTAAAAAAGAAACCTATACAATAAACCACCATAGTCTAGCACTTGAAACCTTGAATTCGACTATGCTCCTACATACAGAGTCAGATGTAAGCATGTTCCCGACGGGTTCAAATGACCCAGCATTCCCGACAAAGAGTATATATATCATCTATGCAGAATTACTAAAATTTCCATCAACAATTAACTTCCAAACCCATAATTCCAAAAGACAAAATAGTGCTCTACATTCAATGCTAAAACTTTACTGGTCGAACACATCAAGTTTAAATCTTGAACTCCACTATGCTCCTATTTACAAAGGCAGAGACCTAGCATGTTTGCTACGGGGTCAACTACCCAGCATTTCCGGACACAAGAGTATATATCATCTACGTATAATGTACCAAATTCCAAAAGACCAAATTTTTTTATGGCCAACACATTAAGCTTAAATCTTGAACTCGAGTCGTTACATCATTTATGCAAAAATTACTAAATTTTCAACAAATATTAACTTGACAGCACATAATTCCAAAAGACAAAAACTGCAACAAGCTCAATGCTAAAACTTTACTCGTCGAACACATCAAGTTTAAATCTTGAACTCGACTATGCTCCTATTGTCCTACATAACAGAGGCAGACGTAGCATATTTGCAACGGGTTCAACTACCCAACATTTCCAACACAGAGTATATATATATATATATATATCTTCAATATAAAGGAGCAGCCTAGAGCACTAAAGCTCCTACTATACATGAGGTCAAGAGAAAGACTGAACCACAAGGATCTATATAAGCAAAGTAGCCTTACTTTGCATTTCTACAAGAGACTTGAAACCATGACCTCCTAATCACATGACAACAACCTTACCAGCTACGCCAAGATTCCACTCATAATTCCAAAAAAGCCGATTTTTTAAGGTCGAACAAATAA